ATTCTAAAAAATGAAATCTTAAAAAATTCATTAAACCTTTTTTTTTTGCCTTCCAGACTCTAGCAGAAAATAGAAGCAAAAAATCATCGAAACATAAAAAAGTCAAAAATTTAATTCAATTAACGAGTTTCTTCTTACGTCATGGCTCAAAAAAGGTTTCACAAAGTGGATAAAATCGACAATTTAATAAATTAATTATTTATTTGGAGAAGATTTTTCTTAGCTGCTAAATTTCATTCTTTGATTCCACGAGCGTTAACGTTTAAATGGTTTCGCTGACTACAGATTTAGATTCTTTGGATGGAGTGATTCGTGTGTTGTATAACGCTAAGAATAGGAGCTAGGTCAGAAGCTGTAAGTGGTGGTGTATAATGTTTTTGACTAGAATTAAAAGGATATTAAGCAACAATTTTAACAAAATTTTAAAAAATCTTTGGGGTCGTTTACTTATGACGTCCATCAAAAAATCTGATTTTTAGACCCCCCTCCCCCCTCTGTCACAAAAATTATATAGAAAAAAATTTCCATTGTTTGAACTGTCACAAAATCCTAGACCTCCCCCTAAATGTCAGACGTCATAAGTGAACGGCCCCTTTTGTCGCAAGAGAGTTTAAACATCATCCTAGCTGCACTCTTGAATCAAGCTTTTGCATTAACTTAATATAAGAATCTCTGAACTGCCTACATTAGTTTTGTTGCCAAGAAAAGAAGTTGGTGATGTAAAAATTATCATTATTAAAAATTACATAAGGTTTCATCAGCCCATTCTCTTTTTGTTTGTCCTTTCTTACAGCTTTGGCTGCAAACATCAGTTGTGATCACTAACCTCCCTTATATATTCAAGCTTAAGGCGGGCTCTATCGCTGGATAAAAACTGCCAATTATCAATAATGTCTCTGTCAACAGCTTTTTTCAATCCAAAATAATTTTGTGACACAATTAATGAACGACCCCGGAAGGAAGCTTTAAAACTGTTCATGTTGATCCAAAATAGAAGAATAAATATAAATTTTCAGCTGAATATTTTCTTTTCATTCCTTATTACATCATTGCTTTGAAGGGCAAGTACTGAAGTTGCTATAGACGCAGCAAAGAGTTATGTCATTCAAATACTCGAGTTATGAGTTCTTATTGTGATATTTTTGTAAAAAGTAAAAATAGACAAGTTTATTGAATTATGGAATCAATGAGTTTTTGAAAAGCTTATGTCATTTCATGTGTCATTGACAATTGAATACTTTTGGATGATAAAGTTATCAGTTTTAATTTTGAATTTAAGTTTATGTTTGTTTTGAATCCATGCCCGAGCGGCACAAGGTGGCAGGTGTCAGTCATATGACTGTTATATGATCGTTTTGAAAAGGCAGATAACAGTTATATGACGGTTATTTGGTAGCAATTATATGACAATTTTATAAAACTGTTATATGACTGCCATATGACTGCCATGAGAAAAAAATTGATCACAGTTACCATTGTGTTTTGAAAAATTATGAAAACCATTCATTTGAAATCAAGATTATGAAGTGAAAAGTTCATTTATTTGTTACTCTTGAAATTTATATCGGCAAATAAGCAATAAGCAAAATAGGATGGACTTTAGTAAAAGGTGAGCAAAACATTTAAAAATTTTTGTTTATATATTATGATTTATCATTCATAAATATTATATAGGAACGATAATTGTCATAAAAGAATTTTCAGGGCACATTCAAATTTTTCAAGATAAAATCAATCAAAGTGCTCCAGGAACTATTGATGATTTAAAAGCAGGATCCAATGCTTTACAAACAGTGATCTGCAAAGCATGATTTGTCAGAAAGAAGGCAGAAAAAGCCGAAAAGTCCTATTGAATTTTTGTTTTTCATAATATTATTATTGTTTGTCTACATTTTTTTTCCTATTATACAAGTTAATAAATAAACACAAAATTTAAACCCCACAATATTTTGTAATTTTATGAATTCATTTCATTTATATTTCAGCTATAACAGCCTATAAAATTGCCATAAAATTGTCATTTTATTGCCATATAATTGCTATTTGACTGAAATTTGATTAAAGTACTGCCCTCTGTGCCTGTCATAAAACTGCTTAAATACTGTCATATAACAGTTTCCGTTTTGTGTCAATTTTTATTGATGGCAGTCATATGGCAGTCATATGGATTACTTTATCATACTATTTGGTTGACATATCGTCAACATCGATAGCAGTTATCTGTCATATGACTGCCATAAAGCAGTTTTTATTGCCATCAAACGATGGCAATTGACACGTGGCAGCTGACATATGGCAGTCATATGACAGTTATATGACACCTTTGTGCCGCTCGGGATGTCAACTTTTAGATAATCATAAATATTTTAATTGGTTAAAATAATCTAACTGAAGCTCTAAAACAGGTTTCTATCGCTAATTTGGGCACTTTTTTGCTACACTAAGGTGCTCTTCAAACCCGTTCCTGGTCATCAATTAGTAAAGCAATAGAATTTAATATGATGTAAGGTTTGCTCAGAGCAAAAACGGCACTGCAATCAATGATTCTATCCTAATTTGTCTTTGATAGAATTCTTATGTCCTTAATAAAATCAGTAATGTCCTGAAAATGAGTAAGTAGTAAAACAATATTAAGCCTTATTTTCCATATCAATGTTAAATTATTTTCACAAATTTTAATTTTATTTTAAAAGCACAGTCATTCAATATTCAATATTTCCTCACGTACCTGCTAATCTATAATCCCCTGAAGACTTAGAAAATTTCTCCAATATTTGACACACTTATACTACTTACTTACTTCGCTGGCCGTACAGATCAATTGTGATCCATGGCCTCCCTTAGATGGCGCCTGAAGCTGACTCTGTCGCTGGCTTCCGTTTGCCAATTAACCATACCAAATGCAATACTGTCTCTGTCAACAGCTTCTTTCCAAGAGTTCTTGGGTCGCCCGCGTGTTCTTTTGCCATCTACAAAAACATTCTTAAAGACTTTATTAATGGGAGCTTCAACAGGTCTCCTAACGACATGTCCAGCCCAACGGAGTCTGTTGACTTTGATTCGTCGTACGATATCAGCTTCATTGAAAAGCTGATATAATTCTGCGTTACTCCTGCTTTTGTAAAAGTCACCTTCTCTCTTCGGTCCAAATATAATTCGCAAGACCCTACGCTCAAATACACCAATTGCGTTCTCATCTGCGATAGTCATATTCCATGACTCAGAACCGTACAACACTACTGGGCGTATTAGTGTCTTGTACATCACTAGTTTGGCATTTCTCGCTATTCTCTTCGATGTTAGTAAATGTCTAATTGCAAAATATGCACGCTGCGCAGCCAAGATCCTTCGCTTAATCTCCACTTGTGTGACACACTTATACGAGTACTAAAGTTTGGGTCATTAACATTTTTATGCCACATAACCTTCACACCAAAAGTAGATATGCATCAAATTTATTATTCATTCATAATTTAATTAAAACATTCCAAAAAAACACAAAAAAGAGCAAAAATTGGAAATAATTTATTCAATATTTATTAAATGACATTTTCCTTTTGTTTTATAGCTCACAATTCATGACATACGTCACGTTACATTATGTTAATCATAATGTGCTATACAAAATTTTCACTTAATATACAAATTTATTAAAATGAGTAAGCCAACGATGATAATCAACAGTATGCACGTGTCTGGCGTTTCTCTCGGAGACAAAAAAAATACAAAATTATGCTCAGTGTAGACAACAAGCAACAAAATCTAAAAAAATTCGTTATCAGAATTCATTGACAAATAGAATTGAATTATGCGAAATGAGTTACAATAATGTCAAGGCTGTGAGTGTCGTGTGGGTTCAAATATGATTTTTAAAGGCTTTTAACTCTTTTTTAAAATTTATGAAAATCGTACGTCCGTCTCTTGGTTCAAGTATGTCCATTCTTGAATCATATGATCCTAATTTCGTACTTTTCTCCATTTTTAACGATTCCAACCAGCTTATAGTAAATAATAGCCAATTTTACCAACTACCAATGATCCAGAACTGTTAAATCACATTTCGACAGGTTTGATCAGTTTAATATCATAAGACCACCTCTGACTGTGCCCCTGATTGCAAGCACATCTACAAATTACTCCATCAAACCACATTGCATACTGTCCCACGCATACTACTCGATCTTGCACTGTATCGTGCTTAATTGACTTACAAACCTAATAGTTATTCATTTATCTTGTAGTTTCCCTTGAAATTATTAACAATAAGTGTCAATGCCTCTCAAATGAAACAAAAATCTCACTTTGATTCATTCTGAGTGATCCATTCACCGCGAGCAGTCATGATCATTTTAATTGTGATTTTTTCAATATTATCAATTTCCATCTCTATTCTCATCTACCAGAGGATTAATTATTTTAAAAATTTAAATGTTCCACACGAGACTTTAAACATTTTGTTTGGCAACACACAGAAGTCAACATTGGGAAAATGTAGTGTCGCATATGACGCCGATAGAGTTTACACGTGAGTGATTAATTTTAATTGAATTTTTGAAAAAAATTATTTAATTTTAAATTTAATTTAATTCAATTAATTGCGATCCGCAGGAAGTTCAAAGGAAGAGGCTTGTGTGCGGGTTTTATGAATGGCTTTACACCGTATCTGTTGCCATTAAACGCTGAGGTTTTAAAGCAGATTTTGATTACAAACTTTAAAAACTTTCGGAATAATTCGTTTGGAGTAAGTATCTGGAACCATGTTTTAGTGATATTGATGTTGTGGGATCGATTGATATGCAAGGGATGGGAACTTGAATTTATTGGTAGAGAGTAGCTTGAAATGTTTAAAATTCATATGATTCTCTCAGAAATGGTCTTATACAATGGATAAATAGGTTTCAGGATATATGGACTATGTGGATCTAATATGGATCCCCTTTTAAATCTTCCGATACTAGCTTCCATTCAATTTACTAGTGCCAAAGCTATAAAAAGCTACCTTAGGATACACTTCTTAAAATCTTAAGTTAATTAAGGGGCCGCTCACTTATGACGTCCAGGGGAAATTCCTGGAAATCCACTGTTATTTTTTGTCCTAGTCAATTTTAAACCATTTGGTTAGTCTCCATGCTTTATCCATTGTCTAAAACAACCAAATTCTCAAAAAGCATCCATCCCTTGACTAAATCTCATCCACAAAACCCAACAAAACACAATGAAAGCAATTATTATCGTCAATATTTACTCAGTTCGAAACAGAACGTCATTCAGTCATATCACTAAACCCCTTCTGGCTAAGAAATGAACAGTGGAAGCAGAAGAGAAGTGAATTGAGTCCAGCATTAACATCATCTAGGGTATGAAGTAAAAATGATTAATTGTTTAATCAATAAATTTCTGTAATAATTTCTAATGTACACATATAATTCATGGATGATAGCTGAAGGGAATGTATCCATTAATCGATGACGCTGCTAAGCAATTTACTGGTTACATAAACATGAAAATGGCAAGCAATACTTCAATTGTATTTGATGTGAGAGACATTTCTTTGAGATATTCATGCAATTCAATAACAAGCACCACTTATGCATTTAATGCGAAAGCATATGACGGTGAAAATACTTCAGAAATATTGAATTATGGCAGAAAGATGTGGAAGAGTATATCATCATCGACTCAGTTGCCATCGTCACCTATCACACGAGAAGTCAATCAATATTTCATTAGGATTACGAATCAAGCAGTTCAACGTCGTCGATATAATAATGAAAAACGAAACGATTTATTGAATTATGTCATTTCATTGAAGGATAAAAGGAATTTTAGTGAAATAGAAACTGCAGCACATGCAATGACTTTCTTTTTAGATGGCTTTGAAACATCAAGTCTTGCACTTTGCTACGTGCTGTATGAACTGTCTAAGAACACGAGAGTTCAAGAAAAGCTTAGAATAGAAATCAATGAGAATATTGATAAGAATCAGACAGTTCCAATTGAAACTTTATTGAACTTAACATATCTCGATCAAGTCTTTTACGAGGCAATTCGTCTACATCCACCATTATATTATACAACACGACAATGTAACGAATCAATTGAATTAATTTCCGATGAACAAAAGATTCTTATACCAAATGGAACGACCATTTGGATTCCTATCTATTCAATTCATCGTGATCCTGACATTTATGAAAATCCCCATGAATTTATGCCTGAAAGATTCAATGAAGAAAATGGCGGAGTAAAAGCTTTTCGTGATAAGTGTGTGCTAATTCCATTTGGTGAGAGTGCCCACATTTGTCTTGGAAAGAAGTTGGGAACTCTGCAAATTAAGGCAGCTGTTGTTGAGTTGTTGAGAAATTTTGAGCTGATTTGTGACGACTCAGTGACTGACGATGATTTAGAGATTCGACCACAGCGATTTGCTAACATACCGAAGGGAGAGATTAAGGTACAGTTCAAGAAGCTAAGTGAGTTTTGATGTTATGGATTGGAGGTGTTTGAAGGATTATGATGGCTTAATAAAGTGCTTTTTGGAGTTGAGATTGTTCAATTTTGAATTAATTGTTGGAGTCAATCAGTTATGATGTCAATCCTTGATACCTTCCTCCTCCCATTCATCCTTTTTTTCGCGATCAGGGACTCAAGATGATCAACATACATTGAAATGTTGTCTAGGTAGCAACCGCTTGACATAGTCAGCCGCTTGGTGTCAGCTGTCAAAAGACATCTATTTGATTCAAGCTTAAGTATCTGGATAAACATTGTATAGACAATATTTAAATCTATACCAATCAGTCTCAAAGCTCTAAACCAAACTAATCCACGTTCTTCCTAGATATCAGACATCATAAGCAAATGCCCTTCATCTGTTTATTATGAATACATCCAAATTGCTCAATAAATTGATGAATTATAATAAAATATACAGCATAAACTTCTCCTTCAGCTTCATAAAACTATAATCAAATTCACTTCAATTTTCAGTAATCTTCACTCTATGTTCTCCAGCAAAGAAATGCACAAAAAAATAGTGCAGAACTAAAGTTTCCGAATAAATTTGCTTAAACTAGATGAAAATACCTTTCAGATACAGAAAAAAAAAACTTGTTCTCGTATCCTTAAGGGATTTACAATAACTTGAAGATAAACTTTTCATTACACAAAATTGACCTCATTCAGTGTGAAAAATTCTGATGTGATAAAATAAAATTGAGCATTTTGGGATGCACAAAAAAAATGCTTAATACTTAAATCTGTGACTGTATTGAGTCTGAATTGATAAAAGTTTATGCTTAAAATGAATAAATTAAATGAGAATAAATTGAAATAATTTTATTGAGAAAGTTATCAACATGGAAATTTACAAGTTTATCAAGTGAACAATTTTGTTGGACTTGTTTGCTGACTTCCGTGCTGTGAGTAAAAAGAAGTCAGATTGAGCATGATTGAGGACCTTTGAATAAGATGAAGGAATTCAGGCGTTTTCTTACATAATTAACATCTTTTATCCTAGAAATTACCCATTCATGATCAGCTCATGTAACATGAGCATGTCTATCCCACCTGGTAGTTCAACATCCATTCCCATTCCTCACACATTTCTAAAGTGAAATTACGTGCAATAAACTTTTTATGAGATTCATCTCAAATTATTTTCCAATTGAAATCCTTTCAAACCTTTTTTTATTCATAGAATATAAATCCAGCATACAAAGGAACCACTAATCATTTCAAAAAATTGTCATAATAAGCTTTTCGTAAATCCTAACAAGAGGAAAAGTTCAAAATCAGCAATAAAAAATTACTTCCTATTTTTCAACAATTTTTCATCCATTTTCTTATTTCTTTATTATGAATCTTTCATTTCCTCATTTGTCATTTGAGTCTGTTTTTTTGTTGTTGCTGCTGGGTTATGCCCTTCCTTCTTGAAGAAAAGAGGAAGCAAAAAATTCATCTCATGTTTCATTTTTGCCTCCAAAATCTTATATAAATTGTGATAACATGCTAATTTTTTCGCATACATGTAAAGACTCTTCTTGCCATCATTTTCTGTTTCCTTGCACAATGTTTGCGATGAATAGGAAAAAGGGAGGAGGTTGATTATGCTGGAAATTGGTAAGGAATTTTCCAAGAATGTGGAATTAGCACGCATAATTTTGTTTAGATCATTTAAATAGGAAAATCGGGAAAATCCATTTTCATTTGAATTGCAGAGCTAGACATTCTTACATCTATAATTTGATGGATGTACATTTTATTTTCACTTGACTTAGAATTTGACAACACATGCTTAAAATTACACATCAAATTCTCTTGACAAAATTCCACAGAAACTGACAATTAAGTTCATATGCTATAAAGTTTCACAATTCTACAACCCCCAACAGTCCCAAAATTCTTAGAATCCCCAGTCCTGCCACAACTGCAGAACTCCTAAATCAACAATCTTGATACTAGACCAAATGTCAAGAGAGGTCAATCATCATATTCTTTCAAAATATCATCAAGCAAAGCTCAGTCATTCAGACAAATTTCGTCCCTTGAAACATTCACTTCCTTCTCAGAACTCCAAGGGAACTCGAGACTAAAAATAATAAAAAATAAAGCCTTCCGTCAAAATAATGAGAATCAATTTTTCTTTCACTCGATCCACAAGACTTTATTATTATTTGTGTGCGCGTATGTAATCCACGCCACAATTTTCTTAAGCTTTTTGAACCTTCACATGTCGTTTATATTCGTCGTCGTCACGCTAATGCTTGTCTTTAAAGCACAAATATTAGGGATGGAATAAGAAGACGAGAGCATATAAAAATTGAGGAGAATGAGCTCATTAATATTAATTCATTTCCTTCATCTGTCATTGATTGTGTATGCGTCATGATTTCCCATTCCAATTTCAATTCCAATTCCTCCCTTCATATCGAATAAGGAAAAACCGTAAATCGCTTCATCAATAAATTCATAAGAGGCCTACTTCATTCATTCATTCATTCAGTTCCTCAATATCAAGTAAGCAAGCAACCACAAAAGAATAAGAATAACATGATGAATTATTTTTAGTGCTGCTTTTTTGAGGAAGCGTGTGTGGCTGTTCTACTTATTGTGTGAAACTGTCTGATTGACTGACTGATTGAATAATTTGATGGGTGATTGAATTGATGGTTGATTGCAAAGTTTGTGGATTGACTGACTAGTTGATTAGATAGTTTGTAAGTAGTTACTGGATGATTGAGGTTGTAAATTATGTAGGAATTGAATTTTTTATGGAACTTGAATGATTTTCTAAAGGAATTTAAGTTTTTATCGTCAGTTGTAAATTGTAGACTTACAAGTTGCCCAACTGATGCTATTTCTAGCAAATTAGCTACTTCAGTATGTTCAGATGGAGAATTACTTGGCGTACAACTATTGAACGGGAGGCGGAACAACAGAACAAGAAGCTGCAGGAAATAGCAGCTTTGGCCCAGAATCGAGTGCGATTCAAATGCTTTGTGGACACCCTACGCTTCATAGTGGAGCAATAGGAACCCATCATCATCATCAGTATGTTGTCCATCGGTTTTGGGCGAGTTTTGCTCAAAAAAAGCTACATGTCACAATTTCAGCTCTGAACAAGCGAAGCAGACGACATTTGGACATTGTTCTTAAAAGTTGTTCTGTCTCGCTCAAATGTGTTGCACAGCCAGTCAAAGCCAAGCTTAAATCAACCACGTATAGATCAATTTTGATCATTTTGATCAGTTCCAAAGCGCTGATCCTGCGCTGATCTAAATAATTCTTACCTAGATCAGGAAACCTAGAGAACCCTCTTTAATTCTAAAATGATATTTCTTCGCAAAATATTTTGGGGCTGTGCTGTCGAGCATCATAACAAATCAACATCCACAAAATGCGCTCATATCTACACAACCCCCAAAAAAACATATCCAAAGGCATTTTAGGTTTTCTTTTCTTTTCCTTTATTTTTGAAAAGCTCATTCAAGCGAAGCTTCTTTCCAGCCGAATTATTTGACTCACAACAACCTCATCAACATAGTTTCATTTGTTCCCCATCCCTTTTCATACAAAAATCCATCTATACATGATTCATATGCTTATAAAAAAATATAAATTTATTATGTGTATGATGTTTCTATTGTGATTTGATTGACTGACAAAATGAAATATCAGTCATGACGATGTGGATGATGATTATGGTATCTTTGACAGGCAAATTTTATGGATTATATCACACATTATTAAAGCAACATGATTTGGCAATATTAATCTATATTATAAGCTGCTATATAGTTTCTAATAGAATTATGTTGTAAACATATTTTTATGCTCTTTTGTTCGCTTTTGAATCTTCTGTTTATTGTCTTGAATAAAAAAGGATTGAAAATTATGGGAAATAAACTTTTATTGTTCGATGAACAATTTTTTTTGTTGCTATGGAAGTTAGTTTTTTGTGTGGATTAGGAGTGTTTATATTTCCATTTCCTTTTATCGAAAAAATTTCGATTGTTCTATTATATGGACTATATACTGGATTATTGACTGTAGAAAAATATTGTTTTTTGTTCAGGCTGTAAGGCTGTAGAAACAATAGAGAGGAAATAAGAGGAATTTAAAACTAATTTTTGTAAATGTCATGTTGATAAATTTTCAGAATTTCCAAGAATTGTAGCTTAGAATTAAATTAAATAACATATATCTGTGGGTTTGTTCATAAATGACGTCCAAAAAGTTGTTATGTGATATTCTGCATGCTTAAGAATCTACAAGCTTAAGAATCTAAGGCAGTGTCTTCCAAACTTTTTTGGTTGGCGATACACCTTGATCGTAAGCCATGACCAAAAAGCCACACTAGTGTGTCGCGACACATGGTTTGAAATTCACTGATCTAAGGATTCATTTAAGGGCCATTCAGTGATTGCGAATCCTAAAAAAATGTTGCTTCCACCTTGTCCATTTAATGTTAATTACCGATTTATGCATTAGCACCTTATCTAGTATAGGGATCAAGCTAGGGCAGTGTTGTTCAAATTGTGTGCCGTGGCCCACTGAAATTCAGAAATTTGTAGAATTGTGAACTGAAGTCTTTAGAAAAAATGTCTAAAGTCAAAATGTGCCGAGGCTGAAAAAAGTTTGGACAACACTGAGCCAGAGTACGGTACAAGCTATTTAGTAAAGAAAAAGCTAGAGTGGAGAACAAGTAAGGACAGGATAAAGATAAAGAAAGCAACTTTCATGGTTTGACATTTTAGAAGTAGACGGATCAAAAACAATGAGACATTCATCAAATCTCAAAATCCCATTTTACATCATTAACAATCAATACCCGAAACTAATTTAAATTTAGTCACAGCTTCAACAATTATCCAACAATGAACAAAAAAAAAATTTTTTTCAATTAACTTCGCCTACACAACGAGACGATATTTTCAGAAAGTTTCATTGACAAGTCCTAATTGAAGCTTGATGAAATCCTCCTCTCATTTCGTTGTTACAAAAGACACAAAACTGTGTAATTACATCGATGCGTGCGTCTGGAAATTAATGTGATCATGAGTCTATAAATTAATTAACTGTTTGTCAATACAAGTCGTCCCATGAGACACAGTTTCAATGGAAATTGTCAGATGACATTGTTGTTGATAGTTTCGTAGTAAATTTGATCAGTTAATGAGTGTTGGACATTGATAAACTTGTGATATTGATGCTTATGTGTTATAATACTCAATGGAGATGAATAAGATGTTGGATGTATGCAAAATTGATGTTAATTTATATGTGAAATGCTGCAAATGTAGTCTTAACGATTTTTGACATTCTAGATGGTTACTTCCAACAAACCAGCTGTTGTATCAATTAGCTGTATACTGCATAAGCCGAGCATTATTAACCTACAGCAATAAATCCTTTAAAAATTAAAGCAAATTTAATACAATTAACTTTTTCACGATAAATCCATCATCAGAAAAATATTAATCTGTACTGAAAATTTTTTCGTGCCTCACAGAAATGAATGGCATCAGGATAAAAATAGAAAACAGCACAACTTCAATCGCTGAGCATGACAAAAAGGAACAAAAAAAAATATCGAAATTATTATGTTTTTCATATTTTTATTCATGCATCCATTGAAGCATGAAAAAGTTGTGATACATTTCAATTCATCAGCATAAAATCGTGTTTCTATAAATTATTCGAATATTTTTTTTTTTCGCTGTCGGTGATTGATGACTCACATAAATGTATTTGTCAGCTTATATAAGTTCATACATGTGCATCATATTAAACA